TGTCGTGGGCTCACACCCGAGACTTCAAGAAGTGGCTTCTTCAAACCCTCGAGACAGTTGATTGCCCCCTGCAGTCTCTGTTCTACAGAAACAATATCAAGCTCGCCGATTGGGGACTGGCCGAGCCATTACAGCATGATCAACGCTGGCTATCCAAATGCCAGATATGGGAACCAGTCAAATGCCAAGCATAGTCTTGGTGTCAGGCAATCGCACCCCGTTTCTCCTGCAGGGTTCCTGTGTTCTGCTTCAAGACTCGTGGTGCTTTCAGACTTGTCGGCTTGCCGACTTTGGGCACGTATTCTATGTTTGCTGACGGATGGTGTGTGTGCAATGACTGCAACACAGTCTATGAAATATTCCAAGTGCTTGTGCGCATTCCAACTGGTACTGTCACAATATTCTTGTTCATGCATTCTAGCTCACGTCTTTTCGTATATTCTACCTGTACCATTTTTTCAACTTTTGTCATGTGCAAATTCATTTACTCCAAAACAACTATTTTAACTGCTGGACAGCTATTAGAAGCACCTATGTAAGGTCTTATATCAACATCCATTCAAATTGCAGTTAACTTCGATTAAAGTCCAGTTTGGACAGGAATTCCCGCTTAAATTCTCAATCAACATTTTACATTGCAATTAAGTTGAATTGAAGTCCTATCGGGAAAGAAATTTCTACTTAACTTCTAAATGACAGCAAAACATTCACTTGCAACTCTTTCTATCTTCAATTCCATCGCAATTCTGACTTTATGTTTACTTAAATATAGTTAAAAAGGGAGTCACACTTAAACTATATATAGCAGCACGTATACTTGAATTACTGTCCTTGTTAAGTTCGATCCATGGAATGGATGATTTATTTAAACTCGAATTGACGACAGACGTTTACTGGAACTCCTTCCATATTAAGTTCTATGTCATAGTTCTATGTCATAGTTCTATGGCATAGTTCTATGTATATTATACACATCATGTCCCCCTATAAATTCTGCTTCAAGATAGACATTGCAATTTATTTCTTACCTTGTTAAATTCTATGTAGTAAACTCTAGTTAAACTTAAGTTAGAATCCAATTTGGTAAAAGGAGCCTAATAAGGAACCTTGAAGAATCTTCAAAAGGAGCTTTACAGTGCGCCTTAAAAGGAGCTTTACAAGCAGCTTCACAAGCAGCTTTACAAGCAGCTTTACAGGGAGTTGTACAAGGAGCTTGTTAAGGCGTTTAAGGAGCTTTTTACAGACCTTACTGGGAGCCGTTCAATTAGCTTTGTGAGGAGCTCAATAAGAAGTCTTGTAAGCAGCTCAAAGGGAGCTTTGCAAGCAGCTTCATAAGGAGTTGTACAAGGAGCCTTCTACGGTTCATAAGAATCATGTTCATTACAGAGTTGTACAAGGAGCGTTGTAAGGAGCTTTACAACCAGGAGCCTTATGAGGAGCTGTTTGTTCTTGTTTGTTTTTTCTCCTCAGTTTTTGTTCTTGAATCTATCCCTCCAAAAAGACAAGCATACTCAGGTATGTTTCTTTTGTTTGTTTAATTTTATTCCTTCTGGCACTCACAAAGAAACCAAACACATCCTCGAGTTGTTTGGTTTTCGAGGGACAAAGAGGAAAACACAAAAACACTGAGGAGAACAAACAACACCTCGAGAAAACCAACAGAAACTTTTGGCACAACCACAATTCCTCCTCTGCGTTCTGGGTTTTAGGTAGGGTGTTGTAATTTTCCCACAGTATTGTTCTGTTTTGTTGGCTTTATTTCTCCTATTTTACGCAGAAAGCCAACACCACGGGGTGCTATATTTGTTCAGCAGAAAACCAGAACATCACGGCTTTCTGGCTGACACTTACCAGAAAGACAAAACACCTCCAGGTTTTGGGTTTTTTGGGTGGTGCAAAGCGAACAAAGCAAAATTACATGAGGGAAACCAAAAACAAACACCGACTCGGAAAAAGGAAAAAAACACATCTTTTTGCAAAACCCGAACTTCTAAACAAACACAGCTTGTATTTACAATTTTGTCAAGGAGGTAAAGTGAAGGCAGATCATGGTGTGTCTGTGTGTGACTCTAGATATATACAGATAGATAGACTAATGGGTCCACAGCGGTCCCAACAAGTGAGCGAGTCGCAAGAGACAGTTTAGGAATATGACGCACTGGCTGAAAGCGCGCATGTGAGGAACAGTCGTTGGTGCTGGTTGTCCTTGTGTCAGTCGTCTTTGTTTGGGGTGTGTATTCGGTGTACAAAAAGGAACAACACACACACACACACACACACACACACACACACACACACACACACACACACACACACACACACACACACACACACACACACACACACACACACACACACACACACACACACACACACACACACACACACACACACACACACACACACACACACACACACACACACACACACACAACACACACACACCACACACACACACACACACACACACACACACACACACACACACACACACACACAC